AAAAAGACTGTGTTTGTGCCAGAGAGGTCACCAGATGTTTGAGAGTAGTCAGTGGAAATTAATGGAGTTAAACCCGCTTATATCAAGACAGAAATTGGCCCTATATCTTTAAATGGCTGCTTTATTCTTTTCTAGAATGGATTTTTCTCTTTTAAGATGTTAAATGCTTTGGATCAGACAATTGTGTTAGCTGTAGTAAGAATTAAACCGTATTTACTCTGATGCAAGACAGTCAGAAGTTTTAATGAGTGTACATCTGTTGCAGCCCCAGAATCAAGATTGGACTCAGTACCAAGTTCGTCCCTGGTGTAACTCCATTTACTTCAACAGAGTTATATGAATGTGTCTCATTACCTTTAAAATATAAGGTAACTATTTTAACTGAAGTCTGTGCAGCATCCATGCAAATGTATAACACCCTAATCGTCTTGCTCAGGAACAACATCTGGAGGGGAAGTTGTGCGAGGATCTCTTAACTTACATTAAAGGCAAGATCATTCACCTCCAGAGCACCACTCTCTTTTGTCCCAGGTGGCCCCTCTGTACTGCTAAGGATCCTGAATGAATGGGTATGGTATAGACAGGGGTTCACGCAACAAATTTTTTGGTGGCCTCAAAGTGCAGCCACTAACTCTTGCTGGTGGCCAGAATGACAATTTTTACTTAATTAGCTTTAGGAAAAACAAATAAATATGCACATATACCTGTCCAAATCATTGTAATTTATTTAGAGTTTTTTTTGCAGACTCAGTAATAACAACAATGTACAGTTGTCTCTATTCTTTACTGGACCTAAACAGAATAGAAACATAAATAAGGTGTTTTGCATGTTCTTGTCTTTTTTGTTGTTGTTCCTTTTGCTTTTTGGTTTCTGTTTGTTTTTTAATAGACTTGCTAGCTAGTAAGTCTGTTTCTGTGAAAAGTAATGTGATATTAACATACAAATATCACTTTTCACAGCAACAGACTTGTTAGCTAGCTGGAAGGCAGTGAAAAGTAATATTAACAAACATACAAATATCACTTTTCACAGCAGACTTACTCAGCCCTGGCAAGCCGGGGGACAAATTTCGCCTTGGATTGGGAGGTGGGTAGGGAGGCATTGGGGGCCAGGGGTGATGGGGTGGATGTGTCACGGGCCGGGGGAGGCAACGGGGGCCAGAGGCAATGGGCGGGAAGGGTGAGCCTGAAGCACAGTGGCCGGAGCCTGCCACCACATGGCCAAAGCTTGCCGCCTGCCGCCACATGGCCAAAGCTTGCCGCCTGCCGCCCCAGGGCTGAAGCCAGAAGCCTGAGCCCCACTGCCCATGGGAAGGTGGAGAACTGACACCAGCTGTCTGCTCCTCTAGCGTTTGTGGCTCCAGACGGGGGCAGGTACCAACCTGTACTTGCAGACCCAGGGGAGGGGTAAATTCTTGCCCCCCCCCCCCATCACCACCCAGGTGGCTGTGGCCACAAGAAAAGCCTCTGATGGCCGCATGTGGCCATGGTGGCCGCATTTGAGAAATGCTGGTATAGAAGGACCAGGGCACGAAACATAAACTTGCCCTCTACCTCTATCGAATCCCATGGGGAAGTCACTAAAGAGTTAATACAAGCTAAGGCTGTATAAGCTCCTGAGTGTGGATCCCTTACATCAGGGGTAGCCAATAGGCGGCCTGCGGGCCAAATCCAGACCACCAGATACTTTTGAATGGACTCCGAAATCTTTTTATTTACTTGTTATTGTCATTATTTTCTCTGGAGTCTGGACCTTGACTCTACCTTGACCAAGAAATCTGGACTTTAGCAAAAACTAATTGACTACCCCTGCCTTACATTCTGAGGAACACCTTTCTAGGGAAATTTCATGAGGCAGCTGCCAATGAAGGGAACCTAGACACTAGAGGTTGAAGGGAGCCATGCTGCTGAAGTTAATCCAATTCTTACTTGAAAAGGAACTGGAGGAACTGACTCTACGAGCCAGATCCTGCAAGGTACTGAGTACTCTCAACTGCTATTTGACTTGGGATTTGAGAGCACTCAGGACCTCCCAAGAGGGATTCAGCACCTTACAAAACTGGGTTCTATATTAACAACTAGAATGCAAGAACAGTCCGTGAAAGCAAAAAAAGCTTTATAAAGAAAATATTAAGAAATGGAATATGCAGACTACAAAGCTTGAATTAAATGCATTCTTTGGTTTACCTGAGAGTTAAGTGTATGCAAATCATGTTCAGTTTGCTCTGATTTGCTCTAGAATGTGGGTTGAAGATATATTTAGGATATACATTTCTCCATGTATAGTGTGTTAAAATATTTTTTGCATTTACTATTAAGAACTATTAGATCAGTGTAAAAACACAGAAATAAGATTGTGATATTTTGTATTGCCAAACAAATACTAGTTTCCTCCATCAAATTCAGTCACATTCAGAGATATGGTCATGCCACTTCTTCTATTCTGGTTTGAGGCCCTACTGAGACTCTCGATGTACAAAATTAGTGACCAATTCTGCTGCCATGGACTTCAGCAGGAGCAAGACTGGGCATTTAAGGAGGTAGTTTAGTACCTAAAATATCAGCTAAAATATACTCTGAAGCATGACTATCAGTTTTTTTTATGACAAGTCTGTTATGCAAATAAATCCCACACATCAGTACTTCTCAAGTCTAAATATATGAAAGGAGGAAATGAGAAACCACCAAACAAGAAGTGAATAAGAAGCTAACTTTCTCCAAAGTCAGAACTCCACCTTATAAAAACAGACCTTATCTCTCCATTTATAAAATGATGAATAAATCCTAAACTGCACTGCAAAATGCCATTTATGCTGACAACATCTTTAATAACTATGTATGCCATCAGTAATTCTTATCATGCTGATTTTTGTTTAGATTCAGGATCCAATACTGGTCCCAGCACATAGACCAAATTACTGGGCTGTGTGCTGGGAACGCAGAGGAGATAAAGTTGGGACGGGTGCTCTAAAACCATGGTGATGAGTGCAGTATAAGAAACTAGATAGAAATAAATATAATTAATATGATTCTATGGGAATCAAGAATAGGAGAAATTAGCCATTTAGGCCACAGAAAAACACTACAGCCACTCAGTGGCTGCTACTGCAATCTCAAATCTGTGGTAGGGTTTTGTTGTTCATGCTCCAAAAGAGGGCCAAAGAATGACCAGTGGATCTGTGTAGTGCACTAGCAATTAAGCAAAGCTGAGCTGATCCGTAAGGAGACCAATAATTCTAATATGTACTACTTTGCAATTCTATAGCACCTTTCATACAAGGATCTTCAATCTCCTCAGAAATATCAATTGATCCACACACCACCACTTTGAAGTGGGCAAGAATTGTTATTCCCATATATTGCCTAAGGAGAAAATAAAAACCAAAACCATTAATTGACTTTCCCAAGTCAGCAGTGGCAAGGGAAGGAATGACAATCAGGATTTAACTCATTGCCCTCACCTCTAACCATTACAATATATACACTCTCTCTGTTGTCATTTGCTTTCACTATTCAGACCACATTCTTAAGATTGTCATGAATATACTACAAGGTTAAACTTTAAATTGATTGTCAGTAATAATAATTAGGCAGATTTCTTGAATCTGAACAGGTCAGGAGAATATGGAGAATTCAGTGGGATTATCTAGGATTTATTTCCTGTAACTGTATGTAACAAGGAATCAAAATTAGTTTGTTTGTTTTTTATTTTGAGGTCTTTCAAATGAGATCTGCTTTTGTGAAGCACTGTTTATAGAAATGACCAAGGTCAGTAAGGCCCCATTCTGGCAAAAATCTCTTAGAAGGGGGCAACCCATCAGTGCTTGTTCCTCCTTGCAAGACTGGGACCTTCATCAGTGATCACAACATGCATTAAAGCCAATATTTTAAAAAATGGCTGCTAGTTTTCAGTAACTCAAATTAAATATCCAAAATCTGAGGCACAGATCAAATCTAGAGAGGTGCTGAGCACCTACTAAGCCCTCAGAACTCCTACTGAAGTCACTGGGTGAGTTTCAGGTCAGCACCTCTCTACGAATTTGACCTCATAATGGTTATGAATATAAATAATCATATATGGTACCTGTGTGTTCTGAAATAGGTTCCTACTTTAGTATAATAAACACATGCTACTATAGCACTGTGAATAAGCACTGAGCAGAATCAAATATTCCAAACACCTCTACGAACTAATTGATAATATAACACTATATCTTTTTGCCATAATATGGCTTGCAAAATATAGTCTGATTTCTCCCACTTAGTAGTGTGTGCTTTTTCAGAAAGCATAATAGCTCATACCTACATATTGTGGTTTACCTGTCTGTCCACCAATAACTTATTTTTCAAAAAAAATTCACCCAAAATTTCAATAGTTACATTGCCAAAGAGTGAATACAAAACTGATTTAGCTAACAAAATATTATTTGAACCCAGACTATGTCATGCACTGCCTGAGAGATATTAACAACTTTGCATGTAAATTACATTTCCAAATATAAAGGGTAGAGATGTTTCACTAGGGTTCCCCTCCCCCCCCAAAAAACAAGATCTCCCAGACAGTTAGCAGTGCATCTTTTCTTGACATCTATAGATGTCTGTGTAAGAGAAGTCAAGAGATTTTTTTGTACTTCAACAGGCTTTAAATCACAGATCAAATTTAAAGGAGAGCTCACAAAGCCTCACCGGATCCAACTAACCCATGGCCTTGGGGTCAGTGCAACGTTGTTATTGTAAGTGCAGTGTTGTTATTGTCCAGTCTAGTTTTCAGCGTCTCCAACGTTGGGGCTTTTCCCCCTTCCCCTGAAAGGCTTTTCCAGTCTATCAGATCTCAGAGTAAATAAGGGTTGAAGGGAGGGGTTCCTCTGAAACTTTTTTGACAGAATCTGGCTCTGCACAGCAACACAGCTGGAAGGGGCAGTCTCCTTGCGCCCCTCTCCCCCCGTCGCCCCCAAACCCTACCGTGAATGTGGAAACAGCTCAAACCTGCAGACACTCACCTAGCCGCGGAGTCTGGTGCCGTGTCTGCTGCCGCCTTCTCGCTCCGGCTGCTCGACAGGCAGAAGCAGCCGCGGCTCAGCTCCAGGAACCAGCCCTGCGGAACCTTTCCCCTTCTGTTTTGATTCGATTGACCACGTCAGTCTAGACCACGAGACCCGGATCTGCCGGCTCAGAGCCGGGGGAAGAGCTTTCCCGGCCTCCCTCTCTTTGCTCTCACGTCTAACTGGGCGGTGCGGAGCGCCTGGCACTGCCCACTGCATGCAGACGGGGGTGTCCCCAGCATGCAGGAAAAGCCAGGATGCAGCGGCGCCAGACACAGCATCCTTCACTGGTGAGGGGCTCGTGTCTCAGGCCATCATGAGACCAGGGAGATTTCCACACGCACAAACAGACAGCTGGTGAGTGGGGCTATGAAGGTCTTATTTGAAACACACAGCTGGATCTCCTGAGAGGCACTAAACGACACTGGGGAAAGAAATCCCCCACGCCAATCCTTTAATTCACCACAACGTGACACATAGCACCTAATTGTATTTACATGGCCAAAAACTGCCTACACCAATAATCTGAAATCCTGGATTGTGAATGTTACCTGCCCAGTGTCAGGCATACCATGTAACATTTTTATATATGACCTATCAAAGGGCCAAATATATATAATCCCAATTTAAATTTAACTGACCAATTAAACTGGGTTTATGTCTTATAGAATCATAGAACTGGAAGGGACCTCGAGAGGTCATCTAGGCCAGTCCCCTGCACTCAAGGCAGGACTAAGTATTATCTAGACCAGTGGTTCCCAAACTTTAACAACCTGTGAACCCCTTTCACTAAAATGTCAAGTTTCGCGAACCCGCTTCTAAAAATGAATATTTCCAGGGATTTTCTCCTTTACCTGAGTATAAATTATAAAAGCAGTGATCCTGGAAATATAACATTTGTTTTTATGACATGCTTATTCCACACTATTATTAATTATTATTTATCATAACAGTATTGTTAATACATTATGAAAACGGCAACACTCTTCCCAGATCTCACTTTCATAGCTTGTATCACTTTGAATAAGTCTGTTATAAGACAAGACTCCTATGTTTCATCAAGGAGTATCAGATGTGAAACAGCATGTAGGTATTTAAGAAGCCAACTCAAAGAGTTCCTCCTTCCACAAGCATTCAGGTCTTGAGCAGTCCTGGCAAACAACGCACGTTACAACAAAGCTTAAACTTGTTCTTCATAATAATTTTAAAAACAATACTAGCTGCCTATTTAATTATAGAATCAGCAAAAAATATCCACCTCCCTTTCCATTTCTTATAAGGAGTCTTGAAGTTTAAATCTCCTCAGTGTGATAGATATGCTTGCTTTGATCTGCTTAGCTCTTGGAATCTCAGGGGCTCCAGGCTGCTGGCCCCATGCTGCCCAGGGTTCCTAGGGACAGCTCTGTCCGCCATTAGGGAGTTTTTCCCCAAGAACCCCCTGTAACATTTCGTGAACCCCCAGGGGTTCACGAACCCCAGTTTGGGAACCACTGATCTAGACCATACTTGACAGGTGTTTGTCCAACCTGCTCTTAAAAATCCCCAATAATGGAGATTCCACAACCTCACTAGGCAATTTATTCCAGTGCTTAACCACTCTGACAGTTAGGAAGTTTTTCCTAATGTCCAACCTAAACCACCCTTGCTGCAATTTAAGCCTATTGCTTCTTGTCCTATCCTCAGAGGTTAAGAAGAACAAATTTTCTCCCTCCTCCTTGTAACAGCCTTTTATGTACTTGAAAACTGTTATCATGTCCTCTCTCAGTCTTCTCTTCTCCAGACTAAACAAACCCAATTTTTTCAATCTTCCCTCATAGGTCATGTTTTCTACAACTTTAATAATTTTTGTCACTCTTCTATGGACTTTCTCCAATTTGTCCACATCTTTCCTGAAATGTGGTGTCCAGAGCTGGTCACAGTACTCCAGTTGAGGCCTAATCAGTGCAGAGTAGAGCGTAAGAATTATTTCTCGGGTCTTGCTTACAATACTCCTGCTAATACATCCCAGAATGATCTTTGCTTTTTTTGCAACAGCGTTACACTGTTGACTCAGATTTAGCTTGTGATCCACTATGACCCCCAGATCCCTTTCCACAGTACTCCTTTCTAGGCAGTCATTTCCCATTTTGTATGTGTGCAAATGATTGTTCCTTCCTAAGTGGAGTACTTTGCATTTGTCCTTATTGAATTTCATCCTATTTTCTTCAGACCATTTCTCCAGTTTGTCCAGATTATTTTGAATTTTAATCCTATCTTCCAAAGCACTTGCAACCCCTCCCATCTTGGTATCGTCTGCAAACTTTATAAGTGTACTTTCTATGCTAGTATCTAAATTCTTTGCATCACTGGAGCTGCTTTGCATCACAGTGCATACTAGTGAATCGGCTCAAAATATTTACATATCCCAGGGGTGCAAAGTGATATAATTTTTGAGCAGAGCACTGCCCTTAAATCACCAGTATGTGTACAGTTAGTGATACACACAAGGAAAGCAACTACTTTAGGGCCTCTCAATTTTCAGGATCTAGCATAGGCTAAGCAATTCATGGCTTGATGCCCCTTTTCATAAATGGAACCGGAGGAAGAGGCATACAGTAACTGATTACACAGAGAGACTCCCACACACACACTGAGAACTAGTGGAGAATTCACATTTCCATCCCAGCAAGCTGTGTCTTCACTCTTGCTTGGGGTTTTATTAATCATAAAGCTTGTGCTGCATATAAGAGTGTATCCCCCCCCCCCAATGTGTGAGTTTAGCAACACTGAAGAGAAAGGGGGTGGAGAAGCCACAGATGACCCACTCTTTTCAGCCCTCTGGAGACAATAGACTGCTGCCTGACAGACAGCCCAATCATTAACTAGTACTGCTGGGGGGACTACTGCACCAAAAATAAAAAAATCTGCAACAAAAATAAAAAATTCTGCACACAATATTTTAAAATTCTGCAAAATTCTGCATATTTTATTTGTCAAAATAACACAATATAATCACACCAGTTTCAATTATTTTTGGTCATTTATTTCAAAATACCTGTCAGCAAGTATGTCTGGAACAATACAGACAACAAGAAAGATTCAGAAAATGTTTCTTGACAAATAGATTCCTTACTAGGCATGTTAATACAGCTCTCTGAGTAATAATTAATTTAAATTACAATACAGAAATGTATTTCCTGCACCCCCAGAAGCAGTGCAAGGAGCTGAGGGAGAGGGAAATAATTGCTGGGAAGGAGCCTGGGTGTGAATTTGGAGGGTTGTTGGGTATGGGTTGGAAAAGTATGGAACAGGTTGTTGTTGTTTTTTTGGGGGGTGGGGGGGAGGGACTGTTAGGGAGCTTCCCCCATGCAGACCCTGGCTGACCCCTAGCCTCTCCGATTCAGTCAGGCACTAGTGTCCCTCCATCCCCACTCAGACACCCACTCCCCCTTCCCCATGTGGCCCTGCACCCCCTCTGTCTGAACCCCCAGCACCCCACACTGTCTGTCTCCCCATAGTTCTTGTCTCCTGACGTGGCCTGACAGGCACTGTGGAGAAGACTCTGCAGGCTTTTTCTCTTCCCTAGCTGGCTGGGAGCAGCTGCTGTGTTCTATTGCCACAGCACCCTCTGGTGGGAAAAAGGAGGAACTACAGAAGAGATTTTCTGCTGGGAGCTGCTGCTGTGTTCTAGCGCCACAGTGCCCTTTGGTGGGCAAAAGGTGGCATTGCAGCAACTTTTCAGCAGAAGCTTTTTTCTGCGCAAAAAATTAAAAGTATGCACAGCTCATTAATTATGCACACACGCAGTGGCGCAAAATTCCCCCAGGAGTAACTAACATTGTGTACTGCATACAACAGACCTTCCCTCCCCACCACAGTGACACTGATACCAAGCTGAAGTAAATAAACTCAAAAATATAAGCTATCCAGTAAGTATAATGGTCCTGTTGCAATAAATGGGCCTACAAATTTACCATAAGTTACAAGTTCACAGTAAAAAGCTATGATTTAGTCACGGGTATTTTTAGTAAAAATCATGGACAGGTCACAGTCAATAAACAAAGAGACACTGCCTGTGACCTGTCCATGACTTTTACTAAAAACACCCCTAACTAAATCTGTGGGGGGGGGGCACTCCTGCAGATGCTGCTCGGGGGGGGCACTGTGGAGCCCTTCCACTGTTGGGGGGATGCTCTGTGCCCTGCCGATCCTGCTGCTGGGGGGTGGGCGGCCCAGGGTCCCGTTGCTGCTGCTGCTGCTCCAGACTGGGCAACCTGGGGCCCCGCAGCTGATGCTGTTCTGGGTATGGGGCCGCACCCCACCGCCACTGCTGCTCCGGGTGTGGGGGGGGAATGGCCTGGGACCCTGCCACCACTGCTGCTCTGAGCAGGGGGTGGCGCCCCACCACTGCTGCTGCTCCAGGCAGGGGGCAGCCCGGGGCCCCACCATTTCTGCTCCTTGGCTGCTGCTCCAGGGCAGCGCCTAGGACCAGCTGCCTGGGGCTGTCCGAGCTCCGGTGGCCCTGGGGTCAGCCGCACCAGCCACTGCAGAAGTCACGGAGGTCCCAGAATCTGTGACCTCTGTGAAAGACTCTCAGCCTTATTCATAAGATGTCACAATAACCTGTAACAACAAATGTTGATGGAAAAGGGTACGAAAGGGAGACACAAAAACTGAATTAGTCCAAACAAAAAGGCCTACTGATAAAACTCAAAGACGGTGTTAAGCTCATGCTTGGTAAACAAGAAAAATGTAGAACCAGAAATTAGCAAACCAAAATTGGTGTGTCAGAAGTTAGGCCTAATTGGCAGACAAAATAATGAGGGGATGGACTATTCCACCCACCATTCCCTTCGTGGGTCTGTGATGGGGTGACTACCCCACACTCACCCTGCAGGTTTGAATGCAGGCCAGATGAGCTAATTAACCCATTAGGTAGCTGATTAAGGAGGCTCAGCTAGACAGGAATAGGCGGGGCCTATAAAGCCCAGGAGTTGAAAGAGAAGGGGCTGCTGGGAAAAGGCAGACACTCCCAGGAGACGGGGGAGTGAGCGGAAATTGCAGTCACTCCCTGGGAAGTGGGCAGGGTTGCCAACTTTCTAATAGAAGAAAATGGAACACTTTGCTCTGCCCTACCCCTTCCCTGA